AAGAAGAAAAGTAGATAGAAGACATATTCCTAAGTTTACTCAAAAAGGAAAGAATGTTACATACTAAGAGAAATCCAACTCTACCTTACTACCATGGCGGCGCCACACATTTACTTGGTATCAGAAAAGCTGCTCGTTTGAGCCATGAACATTGACTATGGGAGAAGAAGAGAAAAGGAAAGAACTAAGAGAGAAAGCTACGAAGAACAAAATTCCACATTGTTTACCTAGCGAAGTAGTGAAGGAAAGAAAAGAAGGGCTCACCGATTGCCCGCCGAGTGGTTCGTCCGAGCTGCTACCAGTTGGGTATCTCTGCATATACCACTCACAATAACAGAATAGCAGCGAATCCACAGCGAATAAGTTTATTAATGACGAAGCGATGACTGAACTAGATCTGCCGAGTAGAGTCGGAAGCGGCCAGGACCGAGGCCGTGCGAGACGGTGAGCTCCTTCTGTTCTCTCTGTTCCTTCTGACTCCTTTCTCTCCGCTCCGCCTCTTCGCGCCGATGCTTGCCACGTCATCGCGGAATCTGTAAAGCATAAGCGTTGGGAACGAACTTTGTTGTGATTCATCCCTTGATCGGTACTGATCCAGAGCTACTGATCGTTCTACATGCGTACTCTTACACCTGAGGGACCCGCGGACCTCCTAAGGGTGCGGACTGAAGCGCAATTGGCACCGAAGGAGTTGACCTCGGCGACCTATTAAGGCTCAATCTTGGCGCGGTGGGCCAGTGCACGCCCACCGATCATCTGATCACTCGCCGCAGGTCTATACGTGGCGAGTGATTAGATAGCAGAGAGAGCGTAGTGTTGAAGAGGGCACAGCGATGAGAGTCGCATCAATGCTCAAATCAACGGGCAAGGAAGGGGTCCCATTTCTCGGGTTCTGGGCCGTTTCTCATGGTTCTTCCTTCTTTCGTGTACCACTCACCATCCCTAGGTTAATTTGAAATGGGTTGCTTTTCATCGTGAATTCGTCCTTTAATGTCAGTCTTGCAACCCTGTTTCTTCGCTGCACCTTTTTACAACAAATTCAGAAGCCCATCTTACGTGTTTCCCATCACATACATATATGCTCCCATACATGCTAGCATTGCTTGAATCTTTGGGAGAAATTTCAGTTTGGAACACAAATGTGATGTGTAGTCAAGAAGGGTTATCAAAAGAAATGTTCACCATTGGCTCCAGAAACTTCGCCGTGGCGACTTCGATCATTGAGATGAGAAAAGTCGCTTGTGTAATTTTGCGCTCGATTGCTTTGAAGGCTCTAGGATCAGACTGGTGTGGTTCATGCATGCTAATGCTAATTTATTGATGCAAAATGGGCCAGCGGTTAAGAAAAGAGGAAAAAATTCTCAGGTTTGATCCTTACTCCTTCGTATCTATCCTACAAGGAGTCGTTTACACGACCTCTGCCAGGGTTGTGTCCTTATCAGGAAGGTAGAGCGTGCTAAGCTTTTTGAAAACGGTCTTTTGCATGATATAGGGGCACATGCGGGAACCACAGAACCATGTTTTTTTCCTGAACGGCCCTCTGAATACCAGAAAAGGGGGTCCCTAGTTCGATTCCTCGTGGTGACAAATTTTTGCATTTCGAGTTGACGTTCCAAAATTCGCGCAAAATGTGCGTATAAACCCTAATTTCCGGTGTATAAGCCCGCGCCGATTTCACGTAAAACCACCCCCGCTCGCGCAGTGTAACTTTGTACACCTTAGAAACCACCGCAAATTTGCCTATAGAGGTAAGTCGATGCCCTGATCACGAAAATGACTTTCATTTTCAGCGCTGGCGCCATCTGGCGCCAGTTGGCGCCACCTTGTCACGACCCTTGTTTTCGTCCAAAATCGGTGTAAACTTCAGTATAGGGGTTATTTGGGACCCTGATTACGAATATGACATTCATTATAGGCGCTGGCGCTGTTTGACGCCTATTTTCTGCTCGTCTGCGCTCTCCAACCGAGACATGTGCACTAAACAACGTTAACGCCAAAAACGAATGTCATATTCGTAATCAGGGTCCCAAATAACCCCTATACTGAAGTTTACACCGATTTTGGCGAAAACAAGGGTCGTGACAAGGTGGCGCCAACTGGCGCCAGATGCCGCCACCGCTAAAAACGAATGTCGTTTTCGTGATCAGCATATCGAATTACCCCTATGGGCATGTTACGGTTGACTCTAGATGTACTCAAGTACACTGCACCACCAGTGGAGGTGTTTTTACATGATACTAGCGGGGGCTTATACACCGGAAAATAGGGTAATTAGTGCCATATTCATGATTAGGACCGTCAGTAACCCTTACAATAGACTTTGATTAAAAAACTGGTGAAAAAGGTGTGACACCACAGTGGGGCTGCTTGGTGTCACACCTCTTACACCAATTTTTTAAGTCAAAGTCTTTTTGTAGGGGTTACTGACGTTCTAACATGATCAGAGGGCCGTTCAGGAAAAATTAACATGGTTTTGTGGTTCCCGCATGTGCCCTTATATCATTCAAAGGACCGTTTTCAAAAAGCTTGGCACGCCCTGAAAGACCTTCCTGGTTGGTATGAAGGAGTTGAGGGAAGGAAATAAAGGAGTGCTGTGCGAAAACTAGGACCGTTTCTAGTTGTTGTATTGAGAATTATGAGGCCTAAAAAGGTGGACCAGTGGATTTCCTACGAGATAGGCATGCAACGCGGTCCTATGCGCTGTGAGATATTCGTTTCTCTTGCACAAGATATCCGTTTTTTTTCTTGATGTTTTTGTTATGCACGTCTAGGATTCACTCCTTTGTGAAAATCGGGGAGGGTTGGTTTTGTGGTGTTTGGGTGGGGGGGGGGGAAGCGACTGAGAGACTCCCAAATGAAAAATATGTCAACCAAACGCCAAGCTGAGTTTGTGCTGGTCTGCATCAGGCCTGATTCACGGCACCCCGTTGAAACTCACTTAAACAATTACGGTAGAGGTCTAAACGAACTGGACCAATTCCATGAGAAAACTCGATTGGTGAGCACGATCTCCAGCAAGGTCATTAGGCACCCGGCCAAATGAAATGAGGTGCACATATCTGTACGCAGAATGAGACGCTGAGCTCAAATCTGCTTTCACTATCTGCTGAACTCTCTCTGAAAGGAGTTACGGAGGGTTTTTGTTGCCGCTCTTGATTTTCAGTGTTTTGCCTGCAATCACATGTTAGCTCCATTATAGAAGTCTCGAAGGAAGAGCCGAACAGCGTAAGGAGTGAGCTTCGGTAGCGCAGTTGGTAGCGGTCTCGCTTCTCAAGCAAGGGGTTGGGGGTTCGGTTGCCGCCGGCGTTTGGTGTTTTGCTCTTCTTGTCAAAACGTACCCAAAAAAACTTTTTGAATTCCGTTATATCATCAGTGGTTGCCCCACGCTACACATACAGAGAGTTTGCAAGCAAATTCTCTTGAAGCTCGAGTGCTCCTTGTCTGTTAGTGCACATGGTGCCCGTAGTGTAGGTACCAGGCTTTCCCTTGGCAAGTAGGTGCGATATTCGTATCCAGAGGGTCAAAATACCCTTAGAAACGAGTTTTTCGCCAAACCTGAGGTCACGAAGTAATTGAGAAAAAGCGGAGCAGTGATGGGATTACCACTCCTCAAACTCCACATTTTTGGTTGACCAATCATGGACGACGGGGGAGAGGAGAAAAGAGGGGTTCTATCTAGGAATAATGCCTTGCAGATCTTCGGAGTATGCAGACGGACTAGCCAGACACAATTTTTGTCTATTCTGAAAGATTTTCAAAGGTTTATTCTACCCAAGTGCCAGCCTTTTGTAATGGATTGGTGGATCGGTGAGTAAGTGACTGCCCAAATTTTCGAGGTTAGGTCAAAATTTCAGAATTCGCTAGAAGTTTGCTCAAAGGGAGAGTCTGGCTCCCTGATTACGAATATCATACTTGTTCGAAGCAAAAATGCCTGGCGCCTGCGCTACAAGCGCCCAAAGTAGTGAGGAGCGATGCCGCCCAAGTTCGTTATTAATTGCCCTTAAATTCTTTGTACTGTTAACTATACGCAAGCATGTTGGACTAGCGATGTTAGGAATCTTCCTAGCTATCTTACTGCAAACGGCAAAAGAACAAACTCGCCAGGGAGTCGATCCCCTGACCTCTTTTTCGTGAGCCTCGACCACAGCCCCTGCGCTTTTCTGCTTCATAATTCCTTTCAGAGAAGAGTTCAGCAGATAAGGAACACATATTTGAGCTCAGCGTCCCAAGGCGCGTATACACATATACATCTCATTTCAATTGGCCGGGTTGACCAAATGACCTTTCCTGGTCAGTCGAAAGCGAAGGACTTATCCTTTCTCATAACAATGCATGGCCACACAGCGCACAATTGACTTTTTGAAATCCGAACACGCTAGGATGAGGCCCTGCGCATTCACCATGATTACCCACCCTTTCACACACGACCACTTCTTGATGAGCCCTGACATTTTCTTAAAGTAGAAGTGCTTCATCATTCAAGCACAGGTGGAAACTGGCTTAAAGATCTCATCGGCTCCACAACTCCAGTCTTTCATGGAAAATTGAATGAAAGAGTTACTGAAGTTGTTGTCTAGATGCGTACGAGGAACCATGCCATTTCATTTGCAATATGTCAACGTCAATATCGAAATCCATTCAACCGCTGATCTCCCCAAGCTTCATAGGATGAAAAGTGTTCGTGGAGAGACTAGATGCTCTTGGGTGTTTCTAGGTATTTCCCAGAAATCATTCAATCGCTAAACCTTCCTGGAAGCATGGTAGTTGTTTACGCTAATGGCTGACAGTAAGCAGTTCAAGTGATTGCAGTGGTCATTCAAGCTTATTCAGCCGCTAAACAATTTCTGTTTCCGAAAACGATGCATGTTTAAGAGTATTGACGAGCTGCGGGGAACGCATGCTCAACACTAGCGCTGTAGAAACCTTTCCTTGATAACATTATTCGAAACCAATGAAAGCATGTCTGCTGAATACCAGTACAAGAGCTCAGTTCCACTAAAGTTACCTTGACATGCGCGCAGTAGGAGTGGAGCCGAATCGGTGAATAAGTAGTGCGCTTATATCAGCAGCTACCTCACAAAAATACACGCTGGTCTCTTATGATTATATACGTGTTTGACCACCTTGTTTGCCAAAGCTATTAGCATAAAGAGAGCGGCGGCCTTGGCAAAGCATGAGATACATAAAAACTGAGGTGGGCAGAGAATGTTGATGTTTCCGAGGCGATTTTCAGGTCACTGCCAAAGACTGTCGCATATTTGAAAGCTGAGCTTGGAGCTGTTCAAATGGAGTTTCTGAACAAAGTGGCCCAAAACAGCCGGCCAAACGGCTTTGCACTGTTTTTCGGTTGGTTTCTTCACTGTGATTTGGGAATTGGGGATTTTTCTCCAGGGTCAAATGTGGCTTCCATATATTTCAAAATTTTTACGACCCTCATTCAACCTTTCGGCGGGTATCAGCACGTTTCCCTTGCATCGCTTATTTATGTCTATTCACATAATTTTATGCCCAGCACTGATACATGGGCCTTCATCCACATGGAAGGAGGAGGTGGGTAGTGGGAAGTAGGGTCAACCGTCACGTTCGAACATTTTCGGGATTTTTGCGACCCCCTAGCTCTCGAGGGGGTCCAGTTGCGACCCCCTGTTTTTGTTAATAAGAGTGCTAGACATGAATCCGTTGCGCCAGAAAGCGTCTGCGTTGTCGCGTCAGCCTTGGAGCGCGGCAGGTATCACCCGGGCGCTGGAAGAACGGGACGCGGCGAAGAAAAAATTTTAGAGGGGAATAACTTTCTTGGGACGTATTTTTTGACTTGTTGAGGTAGATTTTGATTGTGCCTGAGGTGCGCTTTCAGAAAACTACAAGGATTGCCTAACTCTCCGGAAAGTACTTCTGTTAGAAGTGGAAAACCCAAAATTCTTCTAAGGCGCACCTTCAACTTTGAAGGCCCATAAATCTTTCGTATGCGACCTTTTGGAAATCTGTAAAAAGTTTCAGAAACTTCAAATATTTCTCTATCAAAAAAAGTATAAAAATTCTAGTGATTGATCCCTTTCCAAAAAAATTATCACGTTCGAGTCTTTTCTAGGCAGCCCTATCCGGGCCCTGAGATTCTAGCAGCCTCTCCCGAGCGGTCCTACCCAACGCTGCCGTATTGGGGGCTCCCTCAGGTTCAGGGGAATGAGGCCCATCCATATTGCTGTTTTCGGCATATTGAAGGCACACGAGTAGCTTGCCAGGCTCTGTCGTGCGGGCTAGGATAGACCTCCAGGTAGTTAGCCACGCTATCCTGGAGCGGAACAAGGGGCTTATTTCTTGGAGGCGGCCCCGAATCGCCTCCCATGTACTTCCCAGTCACTTGAATGCAAGCTTTTGGCTGTGCCGACATGCAGGATACCAACCGCACACACACAGAGCGCACCACACACGCAAGCATGCTGAATCCACCTGCGTCTCAGGGCAAGTACATGGTGGCTTTTGGTCCGCGATTTACCCCCTATCCGCCACCTGGGGTCGCGCCACGTAGCCTCGCCACCAACCGGCTCGAGATCTTTCAGTGAGAGAGGACCCTCAGTGAAAGAGATCCGTGGACTAACTGACTCTTCACGCGCTACCTGTCGGAATGCAAGGTACCCACTCCGTGGAAAACCAGCAGGACCGTGTTGCTGTACAAGAAGGGAGACCTGGACGACATTGGCAACTATCGCCCAATCTGCCTGCTGTCTGTAATCTACAAGCTATTCACTCGAGTCATCCTTAACAGGATCGGCAGAATACTGGATGAAGGACAGCCATGCGAGCAAGCAGGGTTTCGAAGAGGGTTCAGCACGATCTCGCCCTCCCTCCACCCACCCGCCCTCACACCAACGACTCATTGAAGTTTCACGAGAGTACAAGATGCCGCTTTGTCTCACGTTCATCGACTTGAAGAAGGCCTTCGACTCTGTGGAGACAGAAGCGGTCATCGAAGCCTTGGGCAACCAGGGCGTCCCTACTCAGTACATCAAGATTCTTCGTGAGCTCTACAGCAACTTTACGACCAGAATCTCACCATTCTACAAGGAGGTCATCATCGACGTCAAGAGAGGGGTCGACAGGGCGACACCATCTCGCCCAAACTCTTCAGCGCCGCTCTCGAGAACGTCATGCGTCAACTGGAATGGGAAGACATGGGAGTGAAGGTCGACGGCCGGCAACTACACCACCTTCGTTTTGCTGACGACATCGTTCTTATAACGCCGAACATCGAGCAAGCGGAGCGAATGCTGGCTGATTTCGACTGCGCCTGTGGTAAGGTTGGTCTGCAGCTGAACCTAACGAAGACGATGTTTATGAGAAACGGATTGGTTCCTGATGCCCCATTCACGCTCAACGGAACGAACATCACCGAATGCTCCAGCTACGTGTACCTAGGTCGGGAAATCAATATGATGAACGATCTAGCTCCAGAGCTGAGCAGGAGGAAACGAGCGGCTTGGGGAGCGTACAAGAACATCGAGGGAGTAGTGAAGAAGACGAAGAACATCCGGCTCCGTGCCCACCTCTTCGATTCCGCTGTCCTTCCTGCCCTAACCTACGCCTCAGAGACTTGGACTCTGCGCAGGCAGGACGAGCATGCGGTCAGCGTTATCCAACGCGCTGTCGAGAGGACGATGCTAGGAGTAACCCTACACGCAAGTGCAGAGGGGAATCCGGAGTTCCGAACTACGCCAACGATCGAAGATCAGGGACGCTGCCGTTTTCGCCAAGGAATCGAAGATAAGGTGGGCCGGACACGTCATGCGATTTTGCGATGACCGTTGGACCAGAGCGGTTACCGACTCGGGACGTCAAACGAACACCTGGACGACCGCCGGCCCGATGGTCAGACTTCTTCACGAAAGCTCTGAACGAAAGGAATGAAGGACTTCGTGTCCCTCGAGCGAGGAGGATCCACTGGACAACTCTTGCACGCGACAGGGACGAATGGAGACGTTGCTGGCGCCCGCTCGAGCAATTCGATGATCAACGGGACGACAGGTGATACAGGTGATCCCGTTCGAACATTTTCCGTGCAAAAGCGAGTTTTTGGGCTTTCAGCGGCCATAACTCACTTCATTTTCATTTCTGTGATGCACTTTTTTCATGGGGTGAAAGTACAGGATTTGCTCTTTCTAACAAGCCCAAACCGTTTTTCAAAGTTCATTTTTCGAGAAAATCACACGTTCGAACATTTTGGGGGGTTTTGCCGAACACTTTTTTGAAATCGCGAGTTTTTGGGCTTTAGCGGGCATAACTCACTTCATTTTCATTTCTGTGATGCACTTTTTTCATGGGGTGAAAGTACAGGATTTGCTCTTTCTAACAAGCACCAAACCGTTTTTCAAAGTTCATTTTCGAGAAAATCACACGTTCGAACATTTTGTTCCCATAGGTTTTTGAGCAGCACATGCGAGTTTTTGAGCTTTCAGCAATAATAACTTCCTTCAAAGAGCTTGTTGGGGAGGGATAAAGACATTTTTGAAGACTACGAGATTTCTGCTTTCTTATGTGTTTTACAGTTGTCTGGAAGAAGCGTCCCCAAAAAATAGGTCTCCAAAGAACTTTGTTTTCAGCCCCGAGAAGTCAAACCTTTCATAGGGATGCATCCAACTGTTCTTTATTCCTTAAGAAAACACTGTAATTTGCCTAAAACTGTCTCTCTGTGCATAATAAATCGAATCTAATGCGGTCTGCACAAAGCAAGTCTTGCCCTCGGATACGCCACGCACGCGCCTGTGGCTGGCAGTCCTCGAAATTGCGACCCCCTTCCGACCAAAATGCGACCCCTTCGTTCGAACAGTTCGAGGGCAACCGTCCGATGACCCTGGTGGGAAGTTACGTACGTTGCTCTAACGCTATGCTACGATACCCTCCGCCTCGCGCATAGAACGCGAATCGAGGCAACATGAAGTTCCACTCCGAACATTTTGCATGAGTGGCCGATTACTAGTCGCAAGAAGATCTTCTTAAAAAAAACTAAATTCTGCAGACCTCCAGATCTCCTTTTTTTGGAAGAAAAGAGAGGAGTTGAGAGAGCGCACCATTGAAGACTGTTGATGTAATTACGAACCCTTCATTTAGGAGGTTATATTTTTTCCTTGTTTGCGCTCTTATGTAGTGTGATATGCAGATTTTAATACAGATTAATTGTTTCCCTCTTTAGAAACTATTTGAACTTTTGCAAATTTTCAATCCTTCAAAAGACTGTCTTGGTGTGCTCAAGCTGGTTTTCAACATTCAGGCGTTCGTAAATCGCAAACGTGAAGCAAAACTTCCTCCATGGTCAATTTTTGCAGATCTACAAGGCTAATTAGAAACTAGAAGATTATCGATTCCCAATAAGTACTACAGTTTCTTCAAAAAATTTCCTATTAAAAAATACAGGGTGGCTACTAAATATTGGCGCATGGTTTATTGACCATATTTTTAAAAAGAGAAGCTATTACATCTTCAGAAGTTTATTTTTATATACAGTAAAACATAACAATGCATTACTGAAGAAGGTGCTCGAAATGGCCTCCTTCGGCAGCGATACAGGCTTCAAGTCTCTTCTCAACTGACATCACCGTGGGCCGCAAGTAAGTGACGTCGGCGTGACGTGAGAAGATCTTCACACTGGAAGTGGCGCACGATTCTCAAAACGACAGGCAGTTGTTGGATCCGGCTAGCAGACATTCTGCTCGACCTTGTGTACACAAGGAACCGTTTCCAAATTTGTCATGGTTTGGGCAGGAATTACTTCTGAAACCATGACACCGCTTGTCTTTGTGGATAAATCCATCAAATCAACGCCCAGATCTACCACGAAACAATTTCACGTGATGTCCCCCTTACGTGGAATACGTACGTCCTAACGTGGTGTTTCGACCTTCAGCGAACGTCACTGCATTCTTCAGCAAGAATGGCGCCTCACATGCCGCAAAATCTACGCTGGAGTTCTGTGACCGTCATTTTCCAGGTTACTGGTCACAAAATGTTTGGCCATCTAACTCGCCCGATTTGAACCCAATGGATTTTGCGGTGTGGGGCTTCTTGCAGCAGAAGATGCCTTCTGAGCAACATCGAAGTTTGGACTCCCTGAAGGCTTCCTTGGAGGAGGCGTGGAAGGAGCTTGACGTCAGCTACTTGCGGCCCACAGTGATGTCAGTTGAGAAGAGACTTGAAGCCTGTATCGCTGCCAGAGAAGGCCATTCGAGCATCTTCTTTAGCAATGTATTGCTATGAAAATGAACTTTTGAAAATGTAACAGTTCCTCTTTTTGAAAATATGGCCAGTAAACCATGCGCCAATAATTAGTAGCCACCCTGTAGACCCGTTGTTCCGTTCTACAGGGGTTTGTGGTCCGATTTCTAGGAACGTGCGAGTTTCCATCATTCAAACGTTGATAACTTTCTTCATAACTCAACTTTTTGCAGATGTTCAAGGCTAATTAGAAACTAGACGATTAGCGCTTCTGGATAGAGGCAAATGTTTTTCTGAAGGATCGCTCTTTCAAAAAATAGTATAGTTGTTCTTTTCTCTCTAAGCTCCTTTGAAGTTGGTGAAATAAGTAGCGGTAAAAAATACCGAAAGCTGAAGGATTCCTGCTCTATAGTGGGCACAAAATTTTCCTTAAAGGCACAACTCAGAGGATTGGGTAGACATTCGAATAAGGATTGATACATATGTTGATGGGAAGAGAACGCGAAACCATAAGTTAAGCGTCAACTCCATTTCTTACATCCGCCACCTTAAGGAAGGTGACCGACGAGGGTTGCCGAACTTGAAATTACACTGCTGACATTAAAAAGCTAGATTTTAAAGAAGTTTTGCAATGATACTCGAATATAACAATAGTGATTTAAAAGAAAAATTTGATATCTATTTAAGAAAGATACATACAAAGGTTGTGCCACGATGTGACACACTTCGAATCGTCTGACGGCATAATGCCACGGACTACAAGCAACATGTGGCGCTCATGCAACACTCGCTTCGCGCTGCGACAAGTCGCCCGTGCATCTGTGCATTTGGTTAAAGACCCTAGCCCTTTTTCGGGCAGACTGCTGCGTGATTGTCTGGGCGCAACTACCCACAGACGAAAGGACCGCCACGATTCCTGGGTACGCTTTATGTTTTGGTGTAACTATTTTTTCTTTTCTAGATTTTTAACGATTAGCGCTTATTACTCCGGATGATGATCTTCGTCGCCTATCTAGTCTGGACACCCGATTCTCTGCCCGCGTTTGTTTCTTGCACCACGGTGGAATAATGGGTGAGTAAAATAGATTTGCTCGCAAGCCCGTTCCGCTGCTTAGTATCAATTCGTTCAAGGCGCCTCCACATTATAATCCTGTAGTCCTACTCTTGACTGTAATGGCTACGACCCTCAGATCTCCGGCTAACTGTGTTACCTGCCAGTATCTTGCGGTGCACAAATTGCAGGCTATTGACCATATTTAATAAAAACTATTATAAATCTCAAAGGTTTTTTCTGTACAGTAGAACTGCAATTCATGTAGAGAGATGGTCGGTCAAGAAGGCCCTGGAGCAACAGCTTCAGTTTTTCTACAATTGACATCCGTTGACCGAAAACGTTCGTAGAGTTACTCACATTCCTCCTAAGAACCTTTAACAAAGTCCAACTTCATATTGACTAGAACGCATCTTCTAGCCCTGCAGAAAGGCCCCACGCAAAATCTGTGGTACAATCGGTCTAATGGGCCTAACATCGATGACATACTGGAAAATGGCTGGTCATCAACACAGGTAAATGATCGGCATGGTAGACTTCTGGCTCGAATGAAGCGATGATACTCGCTTGGAGTCTAACAGATCAGAACAGCACTCACGTATATTGTTCTGGCTACCTGCTGGTGTAAATTTAACGATTTCATCGGCAATTGCTCTAGCGGATCCAACAATTGCCTGTCCTTTTGAGAATTGTGCGCCAATTCCAGTGTGATGATCTTCTCGCGTCACGTTGACGTCACTTACTTGCGGCCCACGGTGATGTCAGTTGAGAAGAGACTTGAAGCCTGTATCACTGCCGAGGGAGGCCATTTCGAGCACCTTCTTCAGTGATGCATGGATATGTTTTACTGTATATAAAAATAAACTTCTGAAGATGTAATAGTTTCTCTTTGCAAAATATGGTCAATAAACCATGCGCCAATATTTAGTAGCCACCCTGTAGTTTGCATCATTTTTTTGTCGTGCAAGATTTTTTATTCAGGCAAATCTGAGGAGAGTGGGAGTCGCGCCATAGTTGGGCTCCCTCGTCTTGTAGCAGATTGGGACCGTGCTGAGAAATGCCACGAATATTTAGATAAGTACTCCTACGACTTGGAGGAGTACCGACTGAGTGGCTACAAGGTTAGGAACTTGAATGCGCTTGTTTGATTTCTTACCATGAATAACCCCTTTATCGCAATTTTGGCAACAGCTTTTCTTCAAACTTTTTTATAAGTATTTTTAGCTTGTCACACCATTTCGCAATAATAAGGTCTCACTCAGAAAATTAATAATACATTAAAAGAAAAACAAAACTCACTGTAAAACTGAGATATTCGTTAAATCACACCCATAAGCTAAATTTCTAGAATGTTTCTTATTCGTTTTTGGAGAAAAGGCCACATTTGTGCATTTTGTGGTGCTCGGGACGATTCCTCAGACCTTGCAAAGCAGAAATTTTACAAATTCTCGACATCCACAAAAAAATCTGTAAATAATTAGCTAAGAGTTATGAAAGTTTGCCAGCAGCTATGGCCTTGCAATGCGAGCAGCGCTTTAAGGCTGCCAAGCCGTGGCCTCCAAGCTATCAGGAAATGCACAGGCTGGCGACTCCTTTGGCGCAAGCTGGTCGCGACTACTTCGAAGACAAAAGTGAGCATTTGAGAGCTCTTATTGTCCGGATAAACTCGCTTCGACGCTTCAATAGGGCGTCACTGCATATCACAAAAACGTATTTTATGATCTAAATGCGGAAGCTGTACTGGTAGCAGCCATTCAAAGTAGACTTGCACTTCACTTGCTAGAGCGGCTCACTGCAAGCCTTATGTAACAATCTTCCGCTGGCGCATACCCTTACTGCTTGCAGTCGCATGAATTGGGTGCGACCCTTGCAACGGTGCATGTGTGAAGGTAAAGCTGTTTTGGGATGATAACTCACGACCACATGTCACGAACGGAATCTTGACTGTTATGCAGCAACTTGGTTTCTTGGTTCTACCCCACTCCCTACATTCACCTAATAAAGTGGAACCGATACCATTTTTTCCGATTCTCTGATTATTTTCGAAACCAGGACGAGCGCGAACTTCTCAAAACGGACCTCCGTTCACCGTTGCGTCGGAGATTGCGCGATTCTGAAGAACAAGTACTCTGTTCCCATGGTAGACCGCTACAGAATTCTGCGATAAGTCACACTGGTTAAATCCAGTTCGCAAGGAAAACTAACTATAGCTTTGAAAATTCACAGTAGACAAACTTCTGACTCAACCGGTGAAAATGTATTAGGCTTTCCAGGAAGTAATGTGCGTTCTTAACCTCCGCCTTCAACAATATATCTCAGCTAAGGGCCAGCGCTTTAAAAGTCATTGAAAATTTTTTTGATGTTCGTCCTGCCTAGCTTTCCACAATTGCTTAATTCTGTTCCGATTTTCGTCGAGGATGAGAAATGCTTTAAAATTCGGATGTTTTTGATAAGTAAGTAAAACGAATTGGGCGAAATCTCTTGATCGGCAATCTGAGAGGCCCTTTCTACAAGGATTCGCATGTGAATCGCAAGAGGGGTTTGTGGAAGTGATGAGTCAGCAAGGTAGCACTTTTTCGCCATAAAATAATATGAAAATGGTAAGAAGTGTAACGTGCTGGTCGTAGAACGCGGTCTCAGTAAAAGATATGATAAAGTATGAGTGCTTCCCTCCCCTCTTATTTCGATTGGATAGGGTGTACCGGGCGACGGACTTTTGGTGCGTCCGGGGTTGCACGCGGCGAATCGCGCGGCGGGCTGCGCGGCGATCCGGACGAGGCAAGTCTTCGCGGGCTTCTGCAGTGGAATTCAACACGTCAGGACGTGTGCAGATCGTGGATAGAATCCACAAGGTTCTGCTTTGGAAGAAACTTGAAGGAAAGAAAAGAAAATTACTTTTCAACGCGTGTATATTCAAAGGCAACGGCAGGAAGAGAAGAAAAGGAATAGCAAAATGCTGTTATAACCTTCCATTGGCCCTGTTTTGAAACTTCTCCCCAAATACAGGAGCGCCGCGAAGATATAGAGTTGACAGTTAATAACATTCCACTAAATGACTCCATTTTCGGTGCTTCTTATTCATATTTATAATATGATAAAAGTGGCATTTCTATCATTTCTCTTTCATGTCCTTTCGATGTAATCTTCTCACTGACACCGCTGCATTTCACCGATCTCCGCGGGTGGGAAGTTTCTTCCGAAGCAGAACCTTGTGGATTCTATCCGCGATCTGCGCACGTTCCGACGTGTTGA